AAATCTCTCGCATGGTGGTGGACATGGCGGTAGAGAATCGATTGTTACTAACACCTGTCCTGCTACTTTGCTGGTAAGGGCTCCTGTTTCCTCAGGCTCATTCGAAGGAAGTAGAATGAGGCGTCATCCTTGATGAAGGAATATGTATTTCTGGATCCATCGTTCAAAGTCTTCCGGTCAAATTGCCACAGTCATCTTAGCAAAAGGTGGCAGACATCTATGGAGACTACATCACACCATACCCGGTCCGACAGCTGATTTCTTATTGAAAAGTGTAATAGGAAATTGTCGGTTGATGCTGACATTATTTTTCTTCTTTAGCCACGTCAGTGAATATGATTGAGAATGCTTTTGAGTCGTGAGTCCTAGCTTCTTTACTATATGAGTCGATGCCACATTCTTTCTGCTACCGCCGTCGATTATAAGTATGCATACATTTTTGTTCATCGTGCAACCAATGTGGACAATGTTGTGGCAAAGCCGCTGCGGATCCCTCGTGTCCTCGACTTGCAGAATCTGTCGAATGACAAGTGCTTCTCTCACAGCTAGTGGAAGCTGATGCTCCTCACCCTATTCCTCAACTTCTTGGTTCTTGCTAACCTCTTCCACAACACCCTGTTCGGTAAAGGATATAACTCTGCTCGTCGGTAGCTGGAGGCTATGTGCCCAAATTCATGATATCTGAAGCATTTTTTTGGCGGGCATAGTAGTCCGCTTCTTCTCATTGAGGGTGGCGGCTTTCTTCGTATCCAAACCATTTTTCTCAATTTTTCGCGGCATGCTCCTGCGGTGTCTCTAACTGTGGGAGGCTGCCTGGCTGATGGTAGCTGTCGGCTTTGCTTTTGTTGCCTTTTCATTTTCATTGCTATACATACCCAATGTCCAGTACGACTGTAGCTGCACCACATTACTAATACCATGCTTAAAGTTGCCATGGTATCTAGCTATTGTATTCTTCTTTGGTCCTGTCAGGTCGCGCTTCAGCTGTAAGTTGTCGAACTGAGCTATGAACTCCTCCACTGAAAGGTCTCTCTGTTGCAGATTGTGGAGTTTCAAAAACATGTTTTGGTTGTAATGAGGGGGAAGATAGTTCTCCTGCATGGTTTTCTTCATCTTCTCTCACCTGATAATTTTTTTGCTGTTTTCTCGCCTCTTCTGTCGCTTCACGTTCTCAGACCATAGGGATGTACTTTTCTTCAGATTGATAGTGGCTGATTTGACCTGTGGTCTTGGTGCCTTCCAAATGACATCTCTTCTCAGAACGTTTCCTTGTGGGAGAGACGCATGTATTCCTCTTTAGGCCTCCTTTGATATTGGATTCTTAAATAATGTGACCTATCTTTGTCATCTCTGAAATTATCTCTATGGAAGAGATTCAGACCTTCTTCTCTATCTCCCCTTCGACTTTCCAGGTTTTGGTCGAAAGTATTCTTCTTATGTCATTTCTTCAATCTTTGCAATTCTCTATTGGAGGTGACAGTTCTCGCTGTTTTTATTCCCGAGTAGGCTCGAGTATATTTCTCCTTGGCAACATGGTTGATGGTTTGGTATCTGTGGAGGGAAAGAAAAGAAGGAACCAAAAAAGAAAATAATACAAAGGAAAGAATGGAAAAGACAAATTTCTTGTGCTGGATTGGATATGGGTGGATGTTAGAAGCTCTAAGATGGAATTAGGGTTGGGCTAGCTCTGATACCAAGTGATACCAGAGTTAACCCAATTCACGACGCAAAACAACAATTATTATTACTGAATAAAAAATGATGATATAATGAAGACTCAAAATAAAGGAAAATAACACCTCCAAGCAAAAGTGAGAAAACGACACAACAAGGAAGACACAACAAGCTCATCGAGGAGGGAGTTTGGGTGGTGGTGCAAGGTAGGCTGTTGCAGTGAAGGCCAGAAAGACGTCTGGAAGGAGGTCATCTCGAGGAGCAACAACGAGAGAGGAGTCATGCTGGAAGGCAACAAGTTGGCGGCCTGACCCTGCTTGGAAGAGCGAGACGACTGCGAGAAAGAGCCATATGGCTGCTGAGAGAGCTGGATGGTGCGCTGGAAGGATGTTGACTCAAAGGACAAGGATGGGAGAGGAGCCCTGCTGGATGGCAACAAGGTGGCGACCTACTGTGTGGTAGGCGACTGCTGGGAAGAGTCGGGTGGTGCGCTGGAAGGAGGTTGATGCGAAGGATAGTGATGGTAGAGGGGACTTGTGGGAGGGCAGCAAGGTGGAGGCTTGTAAAGCTGGAAAGTGGACTGACAACAGTAGGAAGGGTGGAAGAATAGATAAGTACATTGTCGGGGTTGAGCTATAGCCGGAGCACCACCCGGACCCGTAGAGAAGATATTTATCTCAGACGAAGGACAGCCGAAGCACTTTCTTGATGTCAGATACATCCTGCGAACGGGAAAATATCAAGGCTAAACTTGAATTCAGATGCAGAATAAAGACCGCTAACTCTAAGCTTATCATTCTGTATTTATAATGAGGTTAGTACTTTATTTTAGACAATACTTAAAATAAGAAAGAATAATCAAATAAGGATTTCAAATTTAGGAAAGGAAATAAAGTGATAGATTATAGTAATGAAATTTTAAGGAAGGGTAATTAAAGTAATCAGAATTCAGATTTTGGAAAAGACTTAAAATAAGACATGTTCTGAAATAAGAAAGGATAATAAAATATAATCAGAATTTCAGATTTTAGGAAAAGATTTAAAATAGGAAAGTGCTTGGAAAGAAAGAATGAAAGGGAGGAAAGTTGAGGAAAGGAAATGGGGAAGAGAAAAAAGGGGTCGACAGCCCACCTCCCTTGATGGCCGACCGACCCAGTCAGGTTGGACCGAGCTCAAGCTGGTCCCCCCTCGAGCTTTGCATCGTTGAGCCCATGGGAGGGACTCCAATAGGAGTAACATTGGCTGTCTAAGAGGGTCATGAGTTTGTGAAACCAATACCAGACACATGACAACCCCCTCTAAGGGATTTTTAGAATTTTTTAGATACATAGCCTACCCCTTGAGTTGTCCTTAGTGAGGGAGGTCCAACATGTTAGAGATGGAAAACTTTTGAAACTACTTCTAGAAGACCGCATAGACTTATTTAGGTATTAAATTCAACTTATTAGTGTACGACCAACAGATGGTCAGACAAGGGGGATGAACCACAAGTAAATTGCCTTAGGTGCTTTGTGGGAAAGAACATCCTGCAATAGGATCCATGTCCTTTTTAGAGAAGAAGGGCCCCCTTCTGATTGGTTGCTATTGAGAGTTGTCCAACATGTCACATATTTCATTCCAGAGTTTATTTCTCCACACAAATTTGTTTATTGGATACGTCCAACCGAGTATGAGCGGAAAGGTTAAATAACAAATTTAATGACTCAATAGTTCCATTGTGAGAATGTACGGCTATATACAACTCCATCCTAGAATGTGCCAAATGAGTATGGATACCTTTCTTATTATAATGTGCTCTGGAATGATAACACTCATAAAATTGGCTTATCGGGAGATTACAACATTTTCGCTACCTTCAATGTGTCTAAGTTAATTCCATACTATTAGAAGGCAGAAGCTTCAATTGATGAGGTCGAAGCTCCTCCAACTTGGGAGACCGATGCATGCTTATTGCGCCACATGCATGACAATTGCTGCGCTCCTATCCTGGACTTGTTTAATCCAGGCAGATGAGGGACTTACCGGTCTTTCCATGCAGAGATTTGCAACTATTGGGCTCCAATCCTTATCTACATGTCTATTTATGTTGTTTTCGTTTTGTTTTTGGGAAATGTTTTGTAGTTATCTGTCCGGACAGTCGTCGGTGTCTCAAGTTTTTCCCTTCTAGGGTTGTGTTCGAGGGCCGGGTGGTGCTCTGACTGTATTTCACTCCCGAGGTGGTGACTATGCTCTGCTATCCTTCTTAAGCATACCTCCCTCCACCGCTGACATCGTCTTCCTTGCTGCAGCCGCCTAGTAGAACATTATATGTGCTGTTCCTGCCACCACACCTCATTGCCGCCTTTTCCACCTTTTGCTGATTCATCGATGTCCCTCTGCCATTCCTGCGGCTAACCTCTTGCTGCCCTCTTGCACTTCCCCCACCTTCCATCCGCTCCTTGCTGCCATCCTGCAGGTCCAACCGCCTGCAACCTTGCTGCACCCCTCCCTGCAGATCCAATTCCAGTATTCAAGGCTGCCATACCCAGCTCTGTATGGCTGCACCCCACATCCCCCTCATACTTGCTGTTATCCTTAAGCCGCAGTCCAAACCTATATTGCTGCTGCTACTGCCGTTCGCCAGTGCCCATATCTTCATTCCAACCACTTGTCGTCCCTTACAACCCCCATAGTCGATCACTTTCACTCTTGGATCGAATCCTAGTGTGAGTTTGTGTGTTGTGTTGCTGTTGTTTTCTATTTTGTGTGGTTGTAACTTCCTATTTGAATTCAACAATAATATTTGACTTTCCTATTATTGTTTAGTTAAACTCGAGTACCAACGAGTTTAGTCGTTCGTTTTCTTCATTTCTTGAAATTTAAAATGAAAGAAATACTGCATTTTGTTGCTCATTGACTTGTAAAACACAGATGAATATGTTATTCGGTCCTTGCTAGTTATTTTGTTGGTGGCTTAGTAAAATCTTAACTTTTTATTTTTGCTGTTGTTCTCGCTTAAGCATCTATTATGAGTAAAATTGAGCCTAGGACTTTCTTATTTACTATGCCTAAAATTTTACTTCCTTGGTTCTTCTGTTTGCTAATTTGTAGTTTTTTTTTTGTTTTTTTGTTGTGTAATGCTGGAAGCTACATTTTTTCTATGGTAAGCTTTTACGCTGTATGCATTGAACTTGTTAAGACACATGCCTGGGTTAAGACTTGAAGCTTTTACACCTAATCTCCTGATATTGTGGATGCGAGGAAAAAAAAAAAAAGACATTCTTGAATGCTTAATGATGTCTTACTTTCTCTTTTTTATCTTAATTTTTTTATTTGCTTCTTTGCAGGTGGTAAGAGTGTTGCATCTTATATATCGATTGGTCGTGCAGCCAAACTCAGCTAGGGCTGATGTGTATGCACGATCATTCATTTCTTGTGGAGGGATAGAGGCCCTTATTTTTCTTCTACAGAGAGAAACAAAGATTGAGGATGATGGTAAACTTCCAGAAAAATCAAGCTTTCTCTACGCTGGAAATTTAGTGGAAAAGGCCTTCTCTGTAGAATCTGCTATCACAAAAGATGGGAGTGAAGAGAGCCTAGAAAAAACAGTGATTGATTATAATAAACTTCATTCATTCCAGCAGAAGGGAAATGACTTGCATGAAGAGAGCATGCATTGTGGTTTGAGTAATAATGGAAATAATATTAAATGTCCGCTTGAAACAAATGCCAAAGGGTCATGGACATCTGAGAGTGAGATATCCAACGCTATTGGGAGCAATAGTTTGCCACTAAATTCTTACAGTTTTGTTAATTCACATAATATTGACGGTGAAGATGGTATTTTTGTTGGAATAATCAAACTTTTCGGTGCCATTATTTCATCTAGTTATTTGGAAGTCTTACAGTGTTATAGCCTTGCAAGTTTGCCAGACAAAACACAAAGTGGTGGATTAGGCAGTGCCATATCTGGTGACAAGATCTCTCTTTTATTATTTGCATTTCATAAGGCTTTGCAAGCAGCTCCGTTCAGGCTTTTGACGATCAATACCTACAAGACTTTGCTATCTGCTGTGGTAATGGTTACAAAAATCTTTATAACTGCATGGTTCTGCCTAGCTTTAGCCTTTCAAATTGAACTTTATTTGGGTGCTTCATGCTTATTTAATTCAGTCTATAAATTCCTTGCTACTATTATCTTACAGTGTTATGTTTTGTGCTGTAAGCCTGTACTACGATATGATATTTGTTCTTTTGTAATGTCCAACTGTGCCCATGTAAACCTGGCTTCATTCCTTTGTTCAAGTGTTATCTGTGAATTGCCTCAGGACCATTTACAAATAGGGGACATCCTTTGACTATGGTTTCTACTTGCACCCACCAGCAATAATGCTAACAGACCTTCAAGCATGCACTTTGTTGTGCTTCATCAGACCACACCTGCTTTGTTGTAAAAAATTTTTTCCTGTTTTTCCAATTTAGAAGCGCCATGCTAATCTTGGAATTTTTAATGTTACTCATCCACCTTTCATTGTCTTATCACAGTTTCAAAGATCTTATGACTTGCTTATGCTTCTCTTAAATATGCTGAAATTTATCGTTAGACTTCTTTTTGCATAGGTAAGTTTGGATGTGCACATGTTGAGGACTTCTCAAGTAATGGACGAGTTTCATTTTTAAATGTGTTCACCTATCATTTTTAATTTATAACACGCCACAGCTTGTTGAAGCTGCCTTTTATTTTTATTTTTGCTGTTTTTGAGTACCCTGAAATGATGAGTTTTGTTTTCAGTCACATCTTTTGTTTCTCCCTCATTCCTATATATAATCCAAACTTATATTTTTTTATGATCTTTGTTTTCTTCTTTGGTAACATTTTACTTTGTCGTGTTTATATTAATCTTTTTTTCCGATTCAGAAGCTTTTAAATGATAGCTGATGCTATCTTCATCTCTTATAGGTTATTGGTATTTGGTGTCTACTTTCAATGTTCATCATAGTCACGTGGAAAATTTGTGATAAATGCAACTTATTTGATAACTTCAGACATTATGTGACCTCATCTCATTATATTTTATTAAGTAAAATGAAAAGAGTAATGAGAAATATTCATCATTTATAGAAAAAAAGAACTAGTCTTTCAGGCAGGCCTTGCCTTCTTGTAATGCTAAAGGCTTAAAATGTGTAAGCTAGTGATATAATAGATGAATAGGTGTCTATTTCAAAAGTTGAATAAGTTGGTTTAGGTTTGGATAAGGATAGCGATGGTGATAAATATGAATGAATGAATGAATTAGTTTGTTGGTGTTGAAATGATCTTGAATTCATGGCCAACTTCTTTCCATATAAAGCAATCTAGCAATTCATAGGGAATAAATTTTCACTTACGTTAATCCAACAACCCCTAGATGACAATATTCTTCTGCTATGCAGTTAATTCTAGATTCTAGAATTAAAGACCGGTTTCCAGATTTATCACTCTACTATTTATATAAAAATTTTCATATTATTTTTACAAAAAAAAAAAAAAAAAAAGGAAAAAGAAGAGGCCAAACAACCTCTCATTTTTAACTCTTCTAACTTTCATTCTAATATCAAGATGTTATCAGATTCATCAAGGTTCTACTTTTTGTGTGGGTGATCTGTCCTTTAATATGGACGCTCTCCTCCAAGTTAATAAGTTCTTCATCAATACGAAAAGCTTGTTTTTGTCCAACAAGAGTAGTGAAGAAGTATGTGAAAGATTCTACCACTAACACTTATTCTCCGATCAACTATGGAGCTTTTACTAAACATCAAAATCTATTTACACAAAATTGAACTTTTATCGTACATATTACCTTATTATGCTTCATATTTTACCTCAAAACGATGTATCAAAACACATGCTAGTCGATTCAAAACTTGATTCTATTTAGGCTTAATATTTTTCTCTTGTTATTTTGAAATAACATGTAGAATAATTTCTAGTGGGTTATAATACTTAACAAAATAAACAGCAATAAAATGTTAAGATATTTAATGACATTAAACAACTTTATTTGTTAATTATGAAGCGGCCATAAGATATAAGTTTTGATTATATATTAATCTTCTATATCACAATAATCAATGTAAAGAAAATTTGCTTGAATAATTGCATGGCATAATATAAGTGAGATAACCTCATTGAATGAAATTTTTAATGGGATTGCTAAGTGTCAAATCCTTAAATACACTATACTAGTTAAATGTAAAAGTGTCAACATACTATATTAATTGCATCATATCAATCAATTACTTTATTTAATTATTGTCATGTAATATCTTAATTTATCTTTCATATATGTCATATATTAATTTTTTAAGTTTATTGGCCATCATGATTTAGTGAGCTGAATAAGCCGACACCATCTATCATAAGGTCTAAACTCAACTCGAGTGTTGCATCGTATAGTTTAATAACGCCTAGGTGTAATCCGATATCATGAAGCCATATATGACTGGGGGAGCCCCCCCCGCCAAGTTTACATTTACCCAAGACAATTCTGAAACACATATATCCTTTCAAAGCTTGTTCTGATAGAATACATAACCATTATTTGTTGATACAACTTGAGCTAGAATTGCACATAGACGAGTCTTTTCACGAATCATTTGTCGGACTATTAAATATGTAGCCTGCTTATCCCACTTCTCATACTCAAATGCGCACGTTCAATAAATGAGTGTCTGGAGGAACTAACTATGGAAAGAACCCACCCCCTTCCCCTGACAGCCACCCAGGAGATAAACTGTTGGTCAGGATGTTCGACGACTCTTCAATAAGGCTCAAACTCATTATCTTTTAGGGCAACCAATGTTAATCCTATTAGAGTCTCATGGACTCAGCTTTAATCGTCATCATCTCTCCCACATAAGTTGGAAGCTGGTACTCCTTTAGGTATTCATCTTCTTCAGTGTCTCACATGCCACTGCCTACTTCTTTAACTGCTCCATACTCAATGAAGGAGATTACTCTCCTATTTGAACAATCAGATGCACTATGCCTGAAGCTGTGACACTTGAGGTACCTCTTTGCTGAGACGAATTTGAGAGTGTTGGAAGTCTCCACTTTTTCTCAACTTTGAACTGTTTTTTCTCGGACGGGGTTGGCTAGGATGCTATACTCGGTGTAACCTTATTGCTTGATATGATGGCTGAACTATATTTAAAGGTTGGCGTGAACTTGATACTGCTGTGTTGTCTCTCCACTTTTAGGGCTAGGGTTAGAATTTTTTGTTATGTCCAATAATGTTGCGAGTATACCACATTGCCAATAGACGATCTCAAATCGCTGAGATATTGAGATATGGTATTCTCTTTGGGCTCCACTAGCCCACATTTCAATTTAAGTTGCTCGAACTTAGCCGCATACCTCTCTACTGAGAGATATTGTTGCTGCAAGTGATGTAGTCTCAAGAACATATCTCGTCTGTAATGAACTGGTAGATACTTACACTGCATCTCTCATTTCATCTTGAACCAGATAGTGATTTTACTTTTTCCTTCCTGTTGTCGAAGAAGCTTCAAGTTCTCCCACCATAGAGATTCACTCTTCTTTAATTTAATGACTAACTAGATTTACTATTCTGTCAAGTGGAATGTGCTTATACTCAAAGATTTGATCTATTGCTTGGAGTCAATCGATGAATTCCTCCGAATTCATGTGACCTTAAAAATCTGGTAAACCCACTTCTACTGCAAGATCCTAGCTTCTCCTTTGATATTTCATGCCAAATTTTCGGGGCATCTGTTTTTTCTCACTAGAAACTATATGGTGGAAGGGATTCACTTCCCACTCTCGATTTGCTGAGTCATTGTTGTTGCTACGAATGTACTCACCTGATTATTTCTTCTAAAAGGCGGCAAGCCTCTACTGCATTTGAAAGATTTTATGTTGTATATCCTCCATAGTAAGCTTTTGGACACCTTGCTAAGGGTTTTTCCTTGGTGGCATGATGTCCTTTCCTCCCGATCAGATTTTTGGCGGATGTAGGATTGTAAATCAATGTTGGTTTGGTCTTAGGTTTCGGTGGTAGGTGTCGAGGTGAAATTCTGAAGGAGGTAGAAATGTTGGAATTTGAAAATTTAGGTGTAGTGTTTGGAATTTTGGTGGGAATGTTTTAGGTATTGTGTAATTTTTTTTTTGAAAATTTGTATTTAGGACAAGAAAGATAAATCTCTTAAATTTAGGGTTTACCAGAATATGATACTATATGATACTGTTCTAGGGCTTTTAGAAGGTATTTATGGTGGTGATTTAGCGGGGAGGTGGTTGTGGAATATTAAATGATGATAATAAGGGTGGTCGACAGTGTTTGGAGGGCGATAAATGATGTTGGATGGCTGTCCCAGCTGTAAATAACAAAGATAACAACAACAAGGTACAGATGTCGTGGAGGTTCACCACTAGTTCCCGCACAAGCTACAGCCACACCACTTGCTAAAAGAATATGATACATCATTTCATTAGGGTAGAAATCTTAAATTACAATCTCCAAGAATCCCCAACAAAACAAAAGTTCTCAAAACATAAAAAACATAATAAATAGGTCCGCCATAGCAAGAACCCTAATTAGAAATAATAAAATAGGAAAAAGATTGAGCAGGAAGGAAATTAACTAAAATCAGAAATTGGCAGATGGGCCATCGGTTCCATAATTGGCGGACTGTAATTGGCGGACTGTCTGCAATTTCTCTGATTTGCTGCTTTTTACGATTTGGATCATTTGTGGTCACGGGAGGGCTGTTCTCGCGGTATCACGGAATTACCGCTTTTGGGATTCAGGATTCTACGATCCTGCAACGTAGCGTGAGTGTGAGCGGGACGCTCCGTGACACGGGTTCATGACATTTGCACAGAAGAAATCATAGAATCATGATAGGTTTTGTTGTTGTCTCCCATCCATTACCTTTGAGTCAATAATGGTATTTCTTTTTCCAATCCAAATTGTTACTAAACAAAGCATCATAAACTCTATAGATTCGTTTAAGTCTAAAATTCATTCTTCTGGTATAAATTGATAATTAACCATATGGGTTGAAGCCTCTGAGAAATTCTCAATCAGATCATAATCTTTTGGTAAGATGGGTTCCAAGTAGCGTTGTATCAGATAACTTATCTGCCTTCTGAAAAATCAATCTAGAATCATTTGAATATGGATAGAATTAAGTAGGTTTTTTTCTAGCCCATTTACCTAATGATCCACATACCCAATGGCCCACATGTAGACTGCTTGACTGTCAGTGATTTTGTTTTCATGAATTTGCTCATTTAAGATAAATGCTTGCTCCTTTAAGATAAATACCATCCTTCACTTACAAAGGAGATATCCTGAACCTTTCCATGCACGCAAGATGCAACTTTAAATTTTTGAAAGAGAAGTTAGATTTGTGCTGTTGGTGGCCTATGATTTGGAGTGAATGTCTTTTGCTCTTAGAGGGTGTAAAGGAGGGAAGTGATCCCCATTGTTTACTTGGAGAGATCAAAGGATATGTTTGACCTTAGTCTAATCGATGAAAGCATTGTTAGCTGATTTGCAGTCACAAATCAAGCTGAACCTGCTAATTGTAATTTGGAGAAAGATTCTAGGTAATAGAAAATTTATGGAGTTCCTCTCGCATTATTGATGTCTTCCTTCTATAATATTTTAGTTGCATTGATTTTTTGATGTCTTAAATTTTACACTTCTCTTCTTTTGCCAAAAACAAAGAATTTAACAAGCGGAGGAACCTTAAAAAAAAGGTTTCAGGTTACCCTCATCAAATTTTGAGTTAGGATGGGGTTTATAAATTTAATTTGAGATGAGTGCAAATGCAAAGACTCTGAACGCCAGCCTGACCAAAATTTAGTTAGGATAACTTGACCCAAATTTTTTTTCGGAACCTTAGCTTTATTTGAAATTAATCATCATGATTGTGGAACACGAGCTTCTCTGTTGGTGGTTTCTTTTGCATATTTTTACAATCTATATGGTGAATCTCTTTTCATTGTGTCGTTTACTGCAAGTTCCATGAACACAATTCTGTTTCATCAAAATAAAAAGGCTTAAGCTTGTCAAAATTTCAATAATGTATGCATGGCCATACACCTTTATTTTTTTACTTTAGCTATTTTTCAATTGTATTGTAAAATTTGACTTTTCGGGCAGCTTAATGTGGTTTATTTTGCAACTATCCAAGATTTCTAAATATACTTTTTCTTTTAATAAGATTAATATCCCGTCATCTGATGTCGGCCTGAAATTGTTTGACTCTGGTCACCGCTTTGAGCATGTGCAACTTTTGTTGGTGCTTCTCCGTTCCCTTCCATATGCATCAAGGGCATTTCAAGTTCGAGCTCTCCAGGTAAGCCGGATAAACCTAAGTGCCGTGCAATCAATTAAGTTATCTTCAAAAATGGATTTTCAATTCTCTGAGATTATAATTGAAAATAAATGCTTCGGAGTATGTACTTCTTGCCTCCTGGAAGGCAGGTTATTGCTTGATTCAAGTAAAAGATAGAAAATCACGATCATTTTTTTTTTTGTCTTTTGGAATTTATTCATCATTTTGCTGCCAAAAGTTATAGATTTACTGTTGTATGGTCAGGAACGATAGCCCATCATTTGGAGTTGTCTATATGAACCCTTATCATCTAAAGTCAAGATAGAAAAGTTTTCTTCCTAACTTCTATTCTTTTTTAAAGCTGTTTACCTGGTGTTCAATTGTTCTTATTTATTAAATATGGAAGGCTTATCTATTGTTCCGTTGTGCGTTTTTTGGAGGTCATCCTGTCTAATATGTATAATGTGAATTATCTCTTGTTGTCTTGTAGACCGAAGGCATGAGACTCTCTTCTACTTTTGTCAGATTTCACAAATTTTTTGGTGTGAGAATATTCTTGTTTCATTGATCTTATAGAATCTTATGCTACCTACATCAAAATTTAGTCTTCCTGTCATCATCTTGCGTTAGTTAATAACCTTGTTTTGTTTGGGACTCCTGAAACTTGGCATTTACTTCCAAAAGTTGTTTTCAATTTCCTCTACAAGGTCATCTTGAACTTGTTGATTCAACCTTCTTAATTTGTAGGTACAGATTGATTTCTGAAGTGATGTCTAAAATGCTAACGAAAATAACAGATACTTGAACCTGCTGGTAGTTATCTGTTCAATCAATTACACATTTGCATTTAGTACAATTCAGTAATCCTTAATATTCAAGATTTTAACTTTATATTTTTCCTGCCTGACCGTAAGATTCTCTTGCATGGGCTTGCCTGAATTCAAGACTGAAAAATTGTGAGGTTAAATTTATATCCACTTTCATCCAACATCTTTGCAATTGGAAATTGATATTGAGTCAAATTGATTGAAATTTTTGGCATTTAATGATGGATACCATCCGAATTTTAATTTATTATTTATATCTATGTCCTTAGTTAAGTTGTTTTCCTGAGGATTTTTTTTTTTCAATTTGATTTCAGGATCTTCTCTTTCTGGCTTGCAGTAATCCAGAAAACAGAAATTGTTTGACTTCCATGGAAGAATGGCCTGAGTGGATTTTAGAAGTTCTAATATCTAACTATGAAGTAATGGTATTGTTTTGCTTTAAAATCATATAAAGTTGTCGAATAACTTGGAGAAGTTACCTGATATCACACTTTAAAAGTTATGTTGCACTGTTTTAAATATCACTTATGAAATGTGTAATTTTTGAAGTCTGAAACATAGGCATAATGCCTCAATTAATCTTAAATTTTTAATCGAGTATAAAGTGTCAATTTAGTTCTTTGATCATTTTCATGTGGTCATTTTAGTTCTAGAGTTTACAAAAATATCAAACTAGTCCTTAGACTCTTCTAATATGGGTTGAAATAGTCCATTGGGAGGACACTACTTGAGCCTCCATTAAAAGTTTATGGGGAGCCTCCACTAAAGGAGTATGAGGACTAATTTGACTTTTTTATAGACTTTGGGATTGATACTGTGGGAGAAAGTCCAAACCACAATAAAAACGAAAATGAAAATAGTATTGCTGAAATTCCCATAGGTTACAATGAGACTCTTCAAAATAAGAAATAAACGACAAACAAACACAAATGATTCGCTTGGGAGTGGATGACGGTGCGAGATGGTGGTTGGGTAGGAAGGGGGAGGGGTTTTGGTGGGTTGCTTGATGGATAGCGGGGAAGGGCCAATATGGATATGGGGCTGCTACAGGGTTTGTTGGAATTGTGGGTTACTCTAGGTGGGAGAAGGGCTGACTGCGGCTAGGACACGGGAAGAGTCTGGCGGTGGAGTTGGGTTTCACGGGAGGGAAATGATCGATTGGGCTTCGCAACAGGGAAAGGATAGCATGCGGTTTTTTCTTGGGAGAGGAAGGATTGGCTGGATTTCACGACAAGTATTTTTTTTTTTGGGGGGGGGGGGGGGGGGGGGGGTTAAAGTTAATTAGAACGACACCGGTCAGGATCCCACGATTCCCTCGTTCCGGGATCACAATTTTTTTTTTGAATTTACTTAGTACAAATGA